TAGTAGAGGACATTTACCTGTATATAAAAAACGCGCCCTATAGTCCGGTGCGCCTTATGTGTGTGTTAAATACAGAAATGGGACACATAACTGAGAGTGCGCCTTTTAGTACGGTGCGCCTTATGGTCGTGAAAATACGGTAGATAACTGACAAGACGGGTAGCTTGGCTGGCTGAGAGGCTGGCAGCTCCCGTTCACTGCCTTCTGTTTTCACCGAGGCAGGCAGAAATAGAATGACCTAGGCGAAGGTAGACGAATGTCACTGTGTACTTACCAAGTTCATTGTTTCACAGAATCGATACGGTAATCGGATTCGTGAAAATCATATAAATTCCCAACCCTAGCAGGGACCCTGTTTCCACCTGGATCCCCGCTCTTTTTCGCACTCATGTCCCTCCGTTGTCGCACAAACTTTCCCCCACGTCCTCAACGCCGTATCTAAACCCACAGCTAGTTTGTGATTGTCCCTCTTGCGTTGTGGCGTTGAATAACATAGCATAGACCACCCTTTAATATTGAGCATAAATCAAAAGTATCTCCGACAAGCTCACTGCGAAAAACTGCTGCGGGAGTATAACCATTTCTCTAAACATTTATCTCAGTTACCGTGCTCAGACCATTCTCGGCAGTTTAAAAGGCTGGTGTAAATGGGGCTTTAGTCAGTAAAGGTATCTTAACTGCCGATCTGATTAAAGCTTTGTTTTGAAAAAAAGAAATCCTTTAACTATAGTTTTCCACAGCTTTATGTTGGGATTTTACAACCCTGTAGGATACATTAAAGGTTTTTCTGTTCTGAAAACTGCTATTCAGTGTTTTTTTGGCAACTCTAAGCATGATATGGGAGGATAGAAGGACTTTATCTGCATGTTGTTATTCATCGCACAGAGCAATTTGCTGGAAGCTTCAGAGAATCTACATGCCTGAACAGAATTTCATAGCTGAGTGAGATCAGACATTTTTTTCTTCATATTATCTGGGTGTTATTTAAAAGTGAAAAAGGCTCTACTGTGAATCTATGCAAACAACTAAAAGGAACAGTGGAAAGTGCAGCAATAAATTCCTTGGAACAAAAGAGCCTTTTTCTTTTTCAGTCTCCAAATTCTCATCTGTTACATCCACAGTGCTTTGTCTCTAACATTCTTTCAGTTTTATTGACACTCTTTTTCTTCCCTCTCCTTTCCTTTTTGTCACCCCACTCAGGTGTCATTTCGGTATCACTGTCAGCTTTATTCGGAGTGGAGGAGGACCAATCAGAAAGTGCGCCTGCTCATGCCCGACATGAAGGGGGCGCACACCACCCAGCGTTCGGTGCCGACCAAGTCGACCAAGAAAATGACTGACGAAACCATTGTATGAGTGCAGAGCGTCGGCTGGGAGGGGGGAGATAATGCAAATCAAGCCCACACAAGCACTCTCTAAAAACAAGTTTAATCATAGTAATATTGAACTTTTGCACTTCATATTGACGATCCTGAAGGGAAAGAGCTGCTTTCTCCTCATGATTTTTTTGTTAAAGCGCTTGATTTTAAAAAAACAAAACAAAAAAAAAAAAGACGACTTAATATTGGCTGACCACAAAAGTGGATTTGGAAAGAACAGATTTCAGAGTCATGTCAGGTAAAACTGTGTATCCACCAGTACTAGGATGTGAAGAAATTGACACAAAGAATGGACTAACCAGCCTGAATTTTTATGTAAGTGGCAGAAACTTATGAAATACTAAGACACAAGCTAATGTAGCAGGATATAACTGATCAGCATGCTACTACAGTATAATAAGAGACGTATTCACTACCTATAATTCCCTTATAATGCCCCTGCACAATGTATTTAACTGGTTTTGAACCGTGGACGAACAGTAGTCTGCAAGGATGGGGATCTAAGCAAAGAAGATTGACAAAGTCTAGCTGTGAATACTCCTTTTTTGTTTTGTTTGTTTGACAAGTAGAGGACAACTGTCCCCCGTCTACAATCTTAAGCATTAACTTTCCAGGTAAAGGTTTTACGCTACGGTTTCTTTAGAAAACATTAAATCGTGTCCCTCCTTGGTCATTAAAGGGAGCCACAGTGCATTTGTCACACGCTTCAAGAGGGGATACCAGAACTTGTATTTTGTGAAATAACACTAAATGACCCATGAAAAATTATTGAAGGCATGATAAGGTGTTTATACTCTAATTGGATGATGTCTCTTCTATTGTCATTAGGAAATAGACTCACTCCACATGTAAATGCATCACTCATGAACTGAGCGGCCTAGCAATTATCCATGGTAGTATCTTCAAAGCTACGAAAAATGCAGGTTTTGAAAATAAGAGAAAAACTGTGTTTAGATTGGAGAGATTGAATACCCTGCATAAAATAGCGATGCATGGTTTGAGACCAGGTGGGTGCTCAGCAAAAGCAAAAGAGAAATGTGCTTTGAGATGTCAATCAATGTATACTAAAAGTATTTTGTGTTACTGTAGTCTTCCTGCTTCATCCCCCCCTGGAAAGTTTGGGTTATTGTGCAATAAAACATGAGGGACTCCTGGACATAGTGTGAACTGGGATTTGCTTACTTATTTTAGCTTAGGTTTAGAATGCAGACAATTGTGATGGCACTCCTGATAAAGATGTGTAATAAGGTTGTAACCACCATTTGCAGCCATATATATATAAAAAGTTGAAATAATTATGGTGGCATTATTTGGGACCCCTAAAAAATCCTTTGAAGAACCATTAATAACATTATTTATTCTTTATGGTTTAAAATTGTTAGATTTCTATAAGTGTTTCCCATTTCTCTGGGGTGTGAAATGTAATGACACAGATCTGTTTCTGTTAGCCTTTTTTCAACAAGGTGTGAGACAAGCACACGTTCCTCTTGCCATAATGCACAGTATGGAGGATGGTAAGAGAGCGGAAAGAAAACAAGCTCTCTACTAGAAATCTGCAATGAAGACTGAAGTCAGGGGTACATAGTATTTTTTTTACACAAAAGCCACTAGCATAATGAGGCCAAAAGTAATGCAATAAATAATTATTTCCTAACATTACAAAAAAAAAAAATTGTCAGATTTAGCTAAACTCTGCAGGAACAGCCCATGTTGATAATCAGATTAGACTAACATTAACTATTTTGCAACAAATAATGCGAGCCTTGTGTGAAATGGCATAAAAATTTAAAAATGCACTCCATCCCCACTTAAAGTTATGTTGGAAAATCATCAATGCTGGTTTAAATGTTGGATCGGTTAAGAACCTTTTTTAAAAACTAGAAAACTTTGAAGGTTTCCTCTTCTGCCTTTTAAGCCTTCCAAAATCAAGTACAGGCATAAATCTGATCAAATATAGCCTTTTTTTATTACAGAGTATTTTATTCTAATGGGATATTAGTTGTTTCGGTTACTATTTTTCCTTACTATTTTCCCAGTGTAGTAGAAGTAGCCGCCTCTGCTCCACCCATTTAAAGATGCTACATCACACCACAATTACGCTCTCCTTTAAGAATTCTGAGACCTCTTACAGCCCTAAAAAGAACATTTTCATGAACAGTTGCTGTCACTGTGAAGATCACATACTAAAAGAGACACAGTCTTACATGGAACCTGAAAAATTTCGTTTTTCCTCACATCACAGCTCTCCAATCACAAAAGGGGGAGGTGATAACGGGACAGGCGAGGCATGGTCAAGCTAGTGGCCTTCTGGAGGGAACAGGTAAACAATGCTCTGTGTAGGCCTGGGAAGAGCTGCTGATCAGAGAGTGGAATTTCTGACGCTTACTGAGACATATAGGAATCAAACAAAACACCAGTATGGGGAGGATTCAATGGCAGAGTTGTATAACATTGTTTAAGCCCTTTAAAAAAAGTAGGTTTTGCATGGTAATGGTCTGTAAAATAAAAGAATTTGCCGATTCTAACCAATAAATTAGAAACTTTTGATTATTTAGATGTAATATAAAGCATAAATCTATACATAAATGCTTTAGCATATATATATATATATATATATATATATATATATATTAATGTGTATATATATTACCGGTGCATCAAATAATGTATTTCTGCAATAGTTCAAATTAATGAAAAGATTATATTTAGGCTCTTTAAACTTTTAACAGGGTTGTTAACAAATTGCTGTGTCTTTACCTTCAAATCACAAGGATTTTTTTTTTAATGCTTTAGGAGCTTTATACAATATTTTGTGCAATCGTTCTATACAATCATATTTTCTTATATAAAATATTTGAGTAAAAGTAGAGATACACAGAAGCTTATTTTCTTTGTCCCCTGGACAATCTAATGTCCTGTGCTTTTCAAATAATCTATCATGTTGTTGTCATTGATATTTTAATTCCACGTGAAAAAGTTCTAGCAGTATCTCTTAAAGATCAGTAAGCAAGTTAGGTAATGAATGTAGGAATGTGGCTTCTGAAGTCCAAACTCTAGAGAAGAGATCGTGTCATAAGACTCACATTTTATCCTCATGCTTCTGAGTCTGTTCAGATGTGGGGAAAGCGACAAAATATGCTTTCTAAACTTATTAAAAGTGCTATAAAACTATTCGAGAGACTGACCTTTCTTTTAACCCTTCTAACAGAAATAGCTTCCTACTTCAATCTTTATTCATCTGCAGTCCCATTTGTGAAGCAATCATAAAATGTGTCACGCAAGGACTGTATGTTCATTTATATGTATATTTAAAGAAAGCACGCTGCAAAGTAATATTGTAAAATTTAATTCAATGGCATTAATATAATGTATGTCAGCAGACAAGCTATCAAAACCAAACAAACAGAAACAAAATTTATTTTACACAAAACAAAGTAAGCGTCAGTAGCATCACAACCACTTCTGGGATGATTACTGAAGGAGAGGGGCCCAAAGACAGGACTGCTGATCCAAGTGAAACCGGCAGGACTTCAAACCCGGGCCCTTAGTTTGTGCCTGATTCTACCAAAAAGATGTGGAGTCACACAGGGTCTCAGACGAGGCTATTCTGCTACACTGTTGTGCTAACTAACTGATAGCTGCTCTGTGTTTACCCTCAGTCCTGTTTTTGGGCCAGGGGGATTTCTGACCATACCTGGGTCAGATTACTACTTGAAATCTGTGAATGGAACTGATTTAAAAAAAAAAAAAAAAAAAAAGTGCTGCTTCTGACTTATTGCACCCAGCATAATTGAAAGCACATCAACACTAGTGGATCTCATTTAATAATCGGCCCAGGTGAGGCAGGACGGTTTTCTGGGAGGTTACAGGTTCTGACAGCACTGCAGCTTGCTCCCTCTCTGTCCATCCGTGGTCGGAGGGACGCTGATGTCCACCACGTTGTTTCCTGGGGACTCGTCGTGGGCAGATCGCTCAGCAATCTGTTTCTGCGATACAATCCGGTAGATTTCTGTTTTATGGAATAGATAAAAACAGAGAAGACTGTTAATATCCTGTTTGCACCTTTGTAAGGTTAACCCTTCCTGACCACAGGATACCTAAAATACTGCATCGCTAAACTGGAAAGGGAAATAAGCTTGGTAAGAGGAAGTTAGGCATGCAAAGTCTATCCTACAGCAGTGAAACACAGAACTGCACCTTAATGAATCATACAGTGAGAAACATTTTGACCAAATATAAACAGCAGCTATTCTGGGAACTAAAAACAGCATTCCAGGTGCTACAGTGGTTCAATTCAGTTTATTTATATAGCGCCAATTCAAAATACATGTCATCTCAAGGCACTTTACAGTTCACCAGATCATCCAGTCAAACCAATTCAAAGTTTTCTATCTACGGAAAACCAGTTGATTGCATCGACTCATTGGTTGAGTGCATGCTTGTAGCGACAGTGGAGAGGAAAAACTCCCTTTTAACAGGAAGAAACCTCCAGCAGAACCAGGCTCAGAGTGAGCGACCATCTGCCAAGGCCGACTGGGGGTTCAAGGAGACAAGAAGAGATACAAAAGGCAACTATAAACGGCGGCCGCATCCAGGAAATAGCCCGGCAGGCTCCAAGCCAGCGCCCATGTCAGAGGATGGAGAACACATACAGTCAGTCACAGTCAGAGAAACAGGACTACACTGAAAAACAGGCAGATCTCGAACATCTATAAACAAGGGTGTTGATGGCAGCAGCATAGCTGATATTTCTCTCCAGGATGGTGTCACAGCCAAACGGGAACAGACGAGGCAAAGCTACTCTGAGAAAAAACAGAGGGAGCATAACAGATTCTGCAGAGTGGGAGAATAGAGATAGAATTAAACAGAACAATGAAATAGGGGTCTCTTTGTCCTCCAGGGGTCTAGGTCTAAGCCTCCAGAAGGTTAAATCCTCAAATAGAGACATAAATATCTAAAGACACAGTGGTTTGAAAAATATTTATCCTATAAAGATTTTTTTTGTTGAAAATCAGTTCATCAAACATATTTGAATAACAAAGTCGATATCCTGTGCTTTCAAATGAATTTGAATTGTATTTATTAGCAGTATTGGGCACGTTACTTTGAAAAAGTAATTAGTTATAGTTACTACCGTAGTTACTTCTCCCAAAAAGTAACTGAGTTACTAACTGAGTTACTCCACAATAAAAGTAACTAGTTACTAGTAAAAGTAACTATTGCGTTACCCAGTGTGTTTCAAAAGCCAGCTGAATAGAGCGGACGACAAAGACAAGAACCTGCAGAGAGTTTTGCATTTATTGCGGAATCTCACTATACACCAGCCATTCTCATCCTCCACTCTCTCACGACATCCAGTGAATCATTATCTGCTGCATAAACCATGTCTGATTCAGTTGATAAACTGCTGGTCAGACATATTCCTTTTATCTGGCAGAGGGTACAGTATCATTCCATGTATTATGGCAAGTGGCTCAGATCTTAACACACTCCTGCCATTACACTATCACTACCGAGTCTAACTGCTGCAATGATCCTATGTTTATAGAATGCTCTCCTACTTTTATGTTGGATGTAATGGCCCTTCTTAAAAAATGGTTTGTCTTCTCAGTCTGCTGAATATTTTCAATAAAGTACTGAGCCTCATGAAGATCCAAACAACTGGATGTTAATAGCCTGGTTTGTCACCTGTTCTAGAATTTATTTAGAACAAGTGAATGTCATTTTGTCATTTAGGTTCTATATAAGTGATTTCTGAGTGTGGCTTGTGAAAATTAATTTTCATCCATTTTTAATTTTAATCGATCCGTTTTCATCAGGATCAACTATGTTTTCACATTAGTCTGGGTAGGTTTGGCTGTTTTTTTCCCTTTAATAAATAGAAATTAGGTAAATGACCTGTGCTTCTATGATGTTTATCAAGTCTCAAGAGCACTCTACACTATTTTCAGTCATTCACACACACCCGTGCTCTGGGGCACCAATAGCAGCCAGAAAGCTGAAGTATCACAGTTGCTCTAAAATTCTTTTATTTACTCACCTGATATTAAAGGTGGTTTGTGCAAGAAAATAATAAATAAAATAGCTGTCGACATGCACAGCCCTTATTAACATAAATTAATGTCATGATAATTTTAATGAAAGTAAGTGGACAGTTTTCAGAAAGGTAACCTTATTACATTTTATACCTTGCAGTGCATGAATATTCTTATGCTTTGTAGTTTTCCCACAGTTTTTTCCATTACAACCACAAACTTAAGTGTATTTTAGTGGGATCTTGTTTTACACACCAACACAAATTGTATAAACAGGGATTCTTGGTTTTGAGTCTTTTTACAAATAAAAATGTGAAATGTTTTATATGAATTGATGTCAAAAGGCTTTTATTCTGATAGTCTTAAATCAAAAATAAATCACCATGTGTATGTGGTGTTATAGTGCCTATTTAATATAAGACAGACTAAGAACAAAATTATACACTGGCATTGCATCCTCACACTAATCCTGCTGACAATTAACTAACAATTAACTGGGTGCTTTTAATACATTCTACAGCTGTATTATGAAAAGGGTATTTAATCAAAGATCAAACATAGAGATGAGAAAAAGATTTTTATTTGAAGTGTGAAAGGAGCTTAACCTCAGTGTCACCAACATATTTTCTCAGACTTTGCACAGTTAAAGAGGCTGAAGTTTAATACCTGCAAATTTTTGTCAGAACATTTTAAGGAAGAGAGAATTCTAAAAATAGGAAACAAAAAAAACAACAATATTAATTGGTGCAATGTTGCCTCTTACTGCAAGTGATTGGGTTCTGATCAGATGTTTAAAAGAGGAACTGTAGGTTTAACAGCTGTTGCATTGTTTTTAGGACAGGCCAGAGATTATAACCCACAAATAATCTCAAGAGCTAAAACAAAAATACTTCCTGATCTTATAACAGCTCCCATTGTAAGATGTGCTTTTGTATGGCTTGCTTTCTTGTTTTCCTTTTCTTAATTCTGATTTTCTGAGTGTAAAATCTGATAACATACCTGTAAGAATATTCTTGAAGGCTTCTTCCACGTTTGTTGAGTCCAAAGCTGAGGTCTCAATGAATGACAGATTGTTCTTCTCTGCGGGTTTACAAACATAATGTTTTATTACGTCAACCACTCAGTGAAATAAACTATTTCCACTCACGGTCAACACTCTTCTGTTACCTGCAAAGGCCCGTGCTTCATCTGTGGGCACAGCCCTGAGGTGGCGCAGGTCGCTTTTGTTCCCAACCAGCATGATGACGATGTTGTTGTCAGCATGGTCCCTCAGCTCCTTCAGCCAGCGCTCCACATTCTCATAGGTCAGATGTTTAGCTATGTCGTACACTAGCAGCGCCCCCACTGCTCCTCTGTAGTATCTGGAACGTGAACAAAGGCAACAAGTTAAAGGGATGAGGTGTGTCAGACCTCCTACTTTCTTAGAGCCTTTACTTTTTTTTTTTTACTGCCTTCAATCCGAACCCATTTATACTCACTGCTTGAATTTTTTTTAATACAAACTTTAATATAATATTTTCACCAATAGCAAAGGGTTTGTTTGAATAAAAAATCTTTAGTTTGAACTATAGTGTTTATGATAATTAAAAATCTGTTCCTAACAAAGTCTTTGATAAGGTCAAAATTTTGGAAGAAAAATCAAACGAGACATAAATTGCTGGAGGACACCTTGAAATTAAATGGCAGGTTTGACATTAACTTTTCATCTACTGTTAGAGCTCCTTACATCCACTGCTTATAGAAGTAGGGGATAAATCTAGGCTGCTACATATTTTTAATGTTGCTTTATCTCATGGAGATCTGAGGTCTTTCCTTTTTGTGGATTTATTCGTTTTTGCTGACCAGATGAGTGCAGGGAGCACAGGTCGTATGTCTGGAAAATAAGCCAGCATCATCATCTGTCCATCACAGTGGGTGTGCTATGCATTGTTCATGCAGGGCTGTGCGTTTGGGCCAAACTTCTCTACTTTAGTTGTGTCTGTTTAAATACAATTTATTAAGACATGTTGCTAGCCATCACTTCTGCAAATATAAAGCATGCTATCAGGTTGTTGTTTTTTTTTAAAGACGAGAAAGTAGGTCCTTTCAAATAAAACTGCAATTGATGACTGCATTTTTAAACAGCTATGTTTTTAAATGACCTTATTTAATTGTTCGTTTTTCTAAAATTTTCAATGACTTCTTACTTTTTCTCTAAACTTCAGTGGATTTAATTGGGATTTAAATGGGGAGTGGTGGCCTAGTGGTTAGGGCGTAGATTTTGGAATCCTGAGGTTCTGAGTTTGAGCCCCACTCCCACAGACTGCCACTGTGGGTCTCTGAGCAAAACCTTTAACCCCACATTGCTCCCTGGGAGCCCCACCATGGCAGCCCACTGATCCACAAGTGGATGGGTTAAATGCAGAGGTAAATTTCTCTAATGTGAGATCAAATAAAGTAAAAAATATATATATATTTTATGTGATAGAACAGCTCAAAGCCCTACAATAATGAGAACTTGAAAGCATTTTCTACACGGTTTTGTAATATTTTACAACCAGCAATCTGACTCTTCTTTATGATCTACTAACAGTTTTTTGTTTTGTTTTTTAAGAATTGAGCTTCCCTTCAACTCTGCACCTCCTGGAAAAAGCTGCCCCTTGACATGATGCTCCCATTACTGTTATATATTAAGTTTGGTGTTTCAGATAATCGTACTTATTCAAAACATTATAAATATTTAAGATGTGACATTAGTATGGAGTGTTTTTAAAAAGCCTCTGCTTCTGCATCATAATCAAAAATGGACTGACTTCCTGTTTGATTTTTATTGGTTCCCAAGTTGATGAATATCAACAACAGGTTCTCTAAAATCATTGTTGGTGTTCTTCCTCCTTGCTATTGTGTTCACATAAATGATTACAAACAACTGACAAAACATCCCTTAATGCAGAAGTACTCACTATTACAAAGTGGACATTTTTCCCAGGTAGATGCAGTTCTTAAAGCATCTCTTTGTAATTCATCTACAATTTCAGTTTGTTAAACGATTCTGTTGCCAGAGATGTTCATCAGACTTACGCTGAAGTAATGGCTCTGTAGCGTTCCTGTCCTGCGGTATCCCAAATCTGAGCCTTTATCGTCTTCCCATCCACCTGGATGCTGCGCGTGGCAAACTCCACCCCAATGGTGCTCTTGCTCTCAAGATTGAACTCGTTTCGTGTGAATCTAGAGAGCAGGTTGCTCTTCCCAACGCCTGAGTCTCCAATTAACACAACTATGGAGAAAAAGAATAACAGATTATGTTATTGTGGTGTTAAAACAAGAAGGTGGGCTCTTTAAACTTTAAAACTGCTGGGAATGTCAAATAGGAAAGCAAAACACTCAGGATAAAAAAATGTCTTGATTTTAAATGCAGAATTTCAATAGTTTTTCCCTTTATTTAATATTAAAGTAATTAAAAGTTATCTATGACTTGGACTATAGTATATATTAGAAAACATTGCCTTGTAAAAATATTGTTGAAAACCCCTTAAACTTTTCAAAGGTGGCAATCACAGGCTCCAGTGTATTTATGTGACAAATGCAGACAAAACAGCAACTATCCTTTTCATTTCCTGTAGAAGTTACGAAGAGAAATTATAAGACAAAAGGTTTTGGTTCTTCAAATTAAATTCTAGAAAATGTATTATACATTTTTATTCACCCTCCTTTGCTCCAAAACTGCTAAATAAAAACCATGGAGAAAGATATTGCACTCAAAGTTACTTTAGAAGTAAGCAAAGTTTTTACCTGTGGTGTTGGACATTGTACAAATGAAATGATTTTTGTCAATATCTTTAGATTTTTGGACATTTGTTTTATGCACTAGCCGTAGAGAATTGTTTTTTACACCAAGAAGCAGCTTTCTAAAATCTCAAAAGCTGAAATAATACTTCAACTACCTATGCAAGTCCAAGCTGATTTTATAAGGAGGTGCCAAGGATTTGCAACAGGAGCAAGGAAAAAAGAGAGGATGAGGAGGATATTTGAGCCATCTCTTTTAATCAATCATTATGGGTAATGTGATATAAGAAGAAAATAAGTTAGAAGAACCCCAAGCACCAACATGGACACAACCACAATATTGAGAATGCAGTATTATGTGTTTTACTAAAACATAGCAGCAGGATCATATCACTGACTCCCTTGTGTTTCTGTCAAGTTTTCTGCTTATACAAGCAGGCAGAGATTTAAAGAAAGCTGGAAAATGCAAAACAGATGGGTTGGCAGTGCTGATGAGAAACAGATTGTGTCATCCAGGATATTTTACTGAGAGGTTTTGTTTCTGCAGCCCAGATGTAGAACTGTTGGCTGTCAATGTTGGGAACATTACTTAAATTAAGTAGTTATATTTATTAGTTACTTCTCCAAAAAAGTAACTGGATTAGCCACTCAGTTACAGGACAATCCAAGTAACTTGTTAAAAGTCAAAGGCCTATGTAGTTATTTTTTATGATCTAAAATGTTGAGAATTTTGATCAACTTTCCAGTTATTGAAACTTTAAATTCAACTGGAAGTTCAATAAACTAATATTAGAAGTTTCACATTCATAAGGAACGCACATTTGAAAACGTATAAGAATTTGCATCACTTTAGTGTGTGTGATGAGACAAGTGAGTTTCACTATATGTAAGTAGATAGGATCATGTTTTTTGTTTATAATAAAAGAACAATAAAGTAAATTAGATGATTTGGAACTATATTTTTGCACATTGAGAGGCTTTGAATGGCTATGAAATAGGCATGAAGCTAAAAAGAATAATGCGTTTCAAGCAATTTAAAAAAAACTAAACAAATTTTGCAATAACATCAAACAAAGGTAAATTTATTTTAGTTTTTTTTATTGTTTTTTTTTTAAACATGCATTACAGAGGGACATGTGGGCACCCAGCTGTCAGTCTGTGTTTAGATGATGTGAGGCACTTCTTTGGATTAGAGGTGCTTCTAACCAACATACATAAAGTTTTTGTTTCCACGCATCATAAGCAAATAACAGAAACATTTAACCTTTGATTTCAATGTGGGCTTTTCTTAAGGAATGCTGTCATTCAATCAGTGGCTCTGCTCCATCCTCTCAGTCTGTGTTCAACACCTGCTGAACACCAGCCCACACTGCAGCTTCTCAGCCAATCGGCATCATGTTCGTGTTCCCTGCAGTAAAAATCAACCTACTTCAGAGAGAGTGTGCTTATAAAAAGTTGCTTTGATTGATCAAGTTGAAGAATTTTTCACTTTGTTAGACTGCAAGTAACGTAACAACATTCTTGATATGTAAAAGGTAACTAGTGTAGTTACATTTAATATAAAAAAAAAAATAGAATGCAGTTATTAAGGCAGTTATTGTGTAATGCTGTTACTCTCCAAACATTTTTGGCAGTTATTTTTCATTAACATTATTTACCAGTAGAGTTCACTAGTGTTGTTTTACATTAACTGTTTACATTCCAACTTCTGTTGTTGCAGACACTGTGCGTAATGTTATCAGTTTAGTTTTTGCTAAGCTACAGACACAACAGCCAGATGCATTGTGGCAATAACTGGGGATTTCAATCTCTGCTACACTTCCAACTTTCACTTCCAACAGGCAACCTTCATGTAAGATAAGAAAATGGTAACAGGGAGGTCAAGGAGCTCTGAGAGGCTTGCTTGAGGCTTCAGACTTGAATGCAATATGAGAAGCCATCAATGTAATGAAAGTGTATAAAGTGTGTATTTACATATATAACACCATCTTCATCCAAAAAGTGAAATATTTCAACAGTAATAGACCTTAGATTAGCGATCTGAAGGAACTGCTGAACAGGAAAAAAGAGCCTCCAGGAAGGGAGACAGGGAATTACTGTGAACAATACAGAATCAATGCGAAAGCAAGGAGCCTTAAAGCAAGCACTGGCAGAACAATATCAGAGATACAGTATGTGGTCAGCGACTGACAGCAGAAAGGGGGATAGGATAGACTGAGGTCTGGACAGATAATATTCTTGAACGAGTGAATTTCAGGAAAAAGATCAGCATTCTTCTCTCCTATCTGAAGTCAAACAGACATCCCAGCCTCCTTTGACCCAAAGTTTCTCTTTTACACTAATGCTTTATTTTCCACCTCTACCAAGGACCCTCCTGCTTCTATGTGGTGTTCTCAACCAAATCAAAAAATCGTACTGCTCCCTCACAACTGTCTACTGCTAGAAGACAATTAAAGAGGCAGCTAGAGAGACCCAATCACAACATGGCACCAGGTCCAGATGGTTTCAGCCCCAGAGTCCTGAGAGCCCATGCCAAACAGCTCTGTGAGATTCTACAGCAACTCTATAACCCATGAGGTAGTTCCAGTGATGTTAAAGACCTCCTGCCTTGTTCAGGTACCAAAGAAAACTCAGCGAACAGTTCACAGTCACCATAAAGTTGTTTTCCTTACATCCCATTACATGAAGGTCCAAGAAAGGTCCTTGGCTTAAGGGTCAACTTTCTAATCAGGTATTCAGCAGCACAGGACCACCGCAGGGGATGGTCATGTCATCTGCAGAAACTCCTGGATGACTGCAGGCACTGGATGCATTAGATATGGACAAGAAGCAGAGTTCAGGGAGCTGAGGAACCAATTTATGTCATAATGTGAGAGCAATCATCTGATTCTCAATGTGAACAAAACAAGGGAGAGGACTGTAGATTCAGAGAGAAAAGGAACAAATTAAAAGCTATTAATATTATGAGAGAGGATGTGATTTGAGACGCAGCTGTGGAGCTGTCCACAATAGGGACAAAGTAGTCTGGAGTGAGCCTTCGGTGGTTGCAGTAGATTGCTAACCTGACTCCGCATATCCATCTGGAAACCTTCCGTTGAAGTAATTTTGGGAAGGGGCGAAAATACTGGTTAGCTGATTGGCCTATGTTGGTGATAGACGGGCCAAATAAACCAATCAGATCAACAAAGCATATGATGTACTAACAGAGCAACCACGAGGAGGAGCCAATTGATAGATCAAACTCTTGCCGAAACCAGTCGGGAGAAGAGCAAAAACATCTTTTCCTCTGAGAAAAGCCTCCAGAGCAGTGTTTTGCTCTTCTTTCAGTAAAGAAATACTCTGTAATTCCGATTAAACTTGCTCGATAGCCACGCTAATGCTAGTTTCATCGGCTGAAGCCGCCATGTTCTTTAGACTGAACGGTCGCGCTTCTCGTTGCGTCACACCTCAACCCGCCTCAAAGCCAACGCTGATTGGACGTTCGTTTGGTGAACTGCTCCAAATTTTCTTTAACGGAAAGTAGCCAGACTGATCTGCGAGTGAAACCTTGAAAGCTCGCGAGATCAGGATGGTCTCATGAGGCTAGTAGATTGCTGCTAGTGTGTTCTTTACTACCATGACCGCTAGGATAACAGCAACAGAGCAAATGACTTAAAGGAGCTAAAAAAGTTAATAAAGAAGGGTAACTCTGATGCCCAGTAGTCTCCCAGTGACTGGGTCTGGGAAGCATCTAGCAGAGAAGCAGAAAAGATAAAACAACTCTGGAGGAGCTACTGAAATCCACGTCAGGTGGAAGGAAATGTCCATACTAGGACATATGATAGTAATGAACTCCAACGAACTGCCCGAAATTGAACCGAGGCAAAAAAGCAATCGATCAATTTTCTTCCACTTATCATCAGGATTCCAGTGGGGCTGGTAACTATCTCCAGCAGTCTATAGACGAAAGGCAGGGTACACTTTGAACCAGTCGCCAGTCTATGCCAATAAACCTAAGAGTCATGTTTTTGCAGAGGGAAACCAAACATGCACAGGGAGAGCATTCAAACTATTATTACGAAGAGCCTAGGGTTGGGACTCAAACACATGACCTTCTTTCTGCAAGGCAACAGTGCTAAAAACTACTTCACCATGTAGCCCAAGACAGCCACTGTTTAAAAAAAAAGAAAAGGGGTAATTCAAACCTCTGTTTGTAGTATTTCATATGCATGTAGGAAACATACATATAAAACAGTTCTCTGGTCAGATGACCCTAAAATTTTAACTTTGTTTTTCAACTTGTATAATTCCATGTGAAGAAGACAAACATCTATACTGCATGTCACCATGAGTGGTAGATTAATATAGTAGGAATGCCTTGTTTTTTCAGATGGAGCAGGAGAACTGGTAGAGTTGCTGTAAAGATAAACAGTGAGAAATAATGTTCTCCATTCAATCTCACTTGAGATGAATTTTATTATAATCTGGCAGACCCCCTCTCCAAAAGTCTTGCAGCAGTGATTGCTGCAAAGTAGTGGTAAATGGATTAGGTCGGCTGAATACAAATCAAAGCCACAATTTGCAGACCTTTTTAAGTAAGTAAAAGAAAAGAAATGTTAAATCTAGGGCTAAACACAATTAATCGGATTAATTGTGATTAATCTATTGTTGAAATATTCATGAAATTAATGTAGTACCCGATTAATCGTTAACTGGAGTATAGAGACTCTGAAACATGCTTATAGGTGACAGAACAAACCACTTAGAGCAGTAATTATACCAAAATTGTAAAGAAGAAAAAAATTACAAACACTTTGTATTTAAGAAAAAACCTTTTTGTCTATCAATATGCTCTATCCAGAACTCTTCAAGTGGAAAAGTTTTAGTTTCACCTGGTTTCGGAAAAAGTCTTCTTTAAGAAATCTTTTGTTATCCAATTATTAATCAATTAATCAAAAAAAAAAAATCCATAAATTAATCTATTTGCAAAAATAATCTTTAACTGAAACCCTAGTTAAATCCTACCTATCACATTTATTCACTGTGCATGCACATCAGTGTTGGTGTATCATGTGACTCTGCAACAAAATACATTTTCTAGGTGCAAATTGAGCAGGGGTGGGGTTAGATGGGGGGCCAGGGGTGGCCATGGCCACCCTCAGCCAATCACTGGCCCACCCTGTGGCCACCCATACCATTTTCCTCCTCTAATACAGATGGTGGCAGCAGTAATACTCTCAAGGGGAAAGTTTAAACTTATTCAACATTTGAATTTTTCATATATAAACAAGTACTTGACAACTAAAACGCTGCGTTTTTGCACATCAAAATGCTAACATTAAAGTTGAGTTATACAGATTTCATGCTCTTTCAGAACTAGATTTTTGTGTGATATGAGGTAAAGAGACAATTATGTCTCTGCAAGTCATCTAGGAGTCTTCACTGTAATTCTAGATAAATAACTACTTTAATAATAACTTAAAAATCAATTTAATGTAGATATTAGTGCATATAAATATAAATTTTATGCAGAAGAATTTTCGAGTAATAGAGAAGATGTTCGCCCCAGAAATGTTGTCCTCTACCTTGGATGTCTTCAACAGGGGGTCTGTGACCCCTAAGGGGTCCACGGAGGTACTGCATGGGGGTAGTTAAAGTTATTAGACTTTTTTTTTGCATTTTTCCCACTAATTGAAATGTCTTTAAATCCACATTAACATGAATTTAACACACTGTAGTAGACAAATAAATGGAGGCAGAATTAGTCTTTCAGTCATCAATGCACACATTCAGCGGCACACAGGAGCTCTTTCAAGCTGGGCACCGTTTCATTCACAACACCTGTCCCATCAACCAGGAATCCGAATCAGAAATACTTTAATAATCCCAGGGAGAAATTACTTTCGCTACATGACTCCATCTGTAATAGAGTGACTATAGGACCAGCTTGATATAACAAATTTCACACAATATATATCATTAGCGGGTCCCCGCTCCATCTCTCCATCAGTTTGGGGGTCCTTGGCCTGGAAAACATTAAAAACCCCTGTTCTACACCTTTAATTAGTCAGCACAGATGTTTAAATATATTTGTCTATTTGGTATCAAAGGCTGTGGGAAAGTATAGTTTGTCTTTATTTAGAAAATATGGATGTTGTTCTTGTTCTTGTTGGAACCCTGAGGTTCTGGCACCTATCTGCTTTCGGCAAACCCTCAGTGTTAAGTGAGGGGTGGCCACCCTTATTAAAATTTTCTAGCTACGCCTCTGAATGTGAGGTGGAACAAAGGCAAGGAATCCAGTTAACTTTGCAGGGAAATGCTGGAACTCATAAAGAGGGAGGGTTGTTCACGCAGTGAAAGCTTATACAGTCTGAGTGTGACAGATCAAGCTGATGGTTCACTCAGCAGCAGGAGAGGTGGAGCCTTTTTTGTTCTCCCTACTTCCTCAACAAAAGGAAACGTAGCCCAACTTTGTTGTCCCCGTCTGCATCGGCCAGTTCAGGGCTGCAGGAAGCTGATAACATGCTTCATCAACCCCTGAATCCACAGTCTCTGGCCGCCTTGCCCTTCCTGTTTCGGACGGGTATAAGGCTCGGCAAGGGGGAGAAAACACAAGGAGGGAGGGAGGGAGAGACTCCTCGCCTCCGGCAGATGCTCTATTCATCCCACAGAGGATACTTTGTTATATCTAAACGGTCTATCTGGCTTATACAAGCCCGGGATGTTAATGTGCCACAGGAGCTGATTTTAGGATCAAAGAGGCCATTCTGGACCCCAAGCGCAGTGGACCTGGGTCTGGTACAGAGGCGTAGCCACAAATTTTTATAAGGGTGGCCAGGCAATAACCAATGTAAACTGAGGGGTGGCCAAAAGTGGATAGGCACCAGAACTTTGGGTCAGGCCAAAGATAAGACAAACTATACTTTCCTACAACCTTTGCTAACAAATAGACGCATATATGTGTGCTTTTAAGATAAAAGATATAGTGGATACAATTATTCCAGGTTTGAGTTCTGGGGCAAACATCTTTTCCATTGTCATTACTTACCTACTTGTATCAATAATCATTCTGCATAACATTGATATTTACAAATACTAATATCAACATAAATTGATTATTTAATAAATTTTTATTAAAATAGTTATTTATCTTTAATTTCACTGAAGACTCCTAGATGACTTGCAGAGACACTTAATTTTCTCTTTACCCCATAAAAAATAAAATCTAGTTCTGAAAAGGGCATGAATTCTGTACTTATCATATTTAATGTTACTATATTTATGTGTATAATTACCCACACTGTTTTTGCTGTCAAGAAATTATGAATAAATGAAAAAATACTAAATAATACATGAAACATGTAAATGAATATTCCACTTGAGAGTCTTACTGCTGCCACCATCTGTATTAGAGGGGGAAGAATGTTAGGGGGGGCCACAGTTGTGGCCATGGCCACCACTGGCCCCCCATCTAGCTCCGCCCCTGCTGGTACCGCTTCAGACTCGGCGACACCCTTTCAGGCCTAACGTCAGAATGACAGACATGAAATAAAGGGAAGTTTTTCCACCGCAGCAGCTGCAGTGAGTCCTAATGTAGCAATGAATGAATGTTATTGATCAGCAGGTAAAGGCCAAAAGGCCTGAATACAATACATAATGGGAAATAATCTAGTGTTTCTAAATAAATAAGAAAACTGTCCTGATATAAAAGTTTATTTTAAAAGCAGCGCATGTTGCGTATTAATTACCCAATATATAAATATATGTGTAATGTAACGGGATTGTGTTGAAATTCCTGCAACAGATGATCATGCTCAGCAATAACAAAGACAAAATGCACAATCATTCTTAAAACGTTGCTTTGAGAGGGGATGTAAACATATTCTTATGCCCTTTATTTATTTATTTATTTATGATTTTTACCTTTGAACAAGAAATCGTATTCGTCGTCTCGGTTCCCCATTCTAGACGAGGCCGCTCCAGCGCTTTTCTCCGGAAGAGGATGAGTGGAGGCTGTGGGTGTGGATGGTCGCTTTGTGCCAGAAAAATAAGGGAAAGATTTGCGCTCAGACTCTGCGCCAGTGTCGGCTGTCAAGGCAGGAGCTGGTCGCAGAAAAGAGGAGAGCTCCCTTCTCTGCAGAGGGAGGGGAGACGTCCTGCAGTTCAAATACCTTCCACTGGGAGGCGCTCCACGCCGGCATGCCACCAGATACCTGTCAACTCATCTGCTTTATCCTCCATCTAAGCATAGCATTTATTATAGGGACAAAATAAAGTCAGTTAACAGGTGTAACTTTCTCAAGGACTGGTGTGGACATGTCCCCACCAATAATTTAAATTCATAGACTTTGGCAATATATGGGAACATTTTCTAAATTTGATATTCCTGCTTTTGAAGGAGGATAATCACCAATGTAGCTGAAAGGAAAAATATCCATCAATCAATCTACATTTTTCTGAATAGATTGATGGGAGGATGAATGAAACTAATATATGTACATACTAGGGAGGCATAATATATTGCATATGTATCCCCTCATACAATAACAATAATATATGGACTGTTCCCCTCACACACATACACAATCTCTACACAATCTGTAAATCTTATCTGCCATTATTTATCTTGTATTATAAACCCCCAAATACATATATAATCCTTTTACTAACATTCCTGTATATTCTGTACAATCTGTATAATCTGTGCATGTAGCTCCCATATTCATATTTATACACAACTTTTTACAGTCCCTAACTATTACTTTTTGCTTGTACATACACCTGCAATAATATGTATATCCTGTATAGCACTTCTGGATATATGCAAACCACATTTCGTTGCTTTGTACTCGTGACAGTGCAATGACAATAAAGTTAAATTCTATTCTATTCTGTTTGCATCGGAAACGGCTGTTATTCATCCCTTTTTTTATATACACATTAATGTCTATCTATAAGTATAAATGTCAGTGTATTTTGGGTCTTTGATGTTCTCAACAATAGGAAAGCAATTAATTCAATACATATATGTTTGAGCTCATTTTTGGGAAATACAAACCCTTTTGAAAGCGTTTGTGTGGAGTAACTGTAGGTCCATCAGACCCCACCCTAAGAGTGACCCCACCAACTTTCATCAGAAAGTTACACCCTTGGTCAGTTGAATAAAAAAAAAATGGTCATCTGGAGATCTGATACATGGAACGGGAGCAGTTGAAATAAAATACCAACTACAGATTACTTTTAAGCTTAGGAAAACATTGTATGTATTAATTAAATTGTTTGATTGATTGACTGTATTGATCTCAAAGTGGAGAAATTTACTTGTTAAATCATCTCAAATAGTCAAAGGAGAAGAAGAAAGTGTTAAAGGAAGAAAAATGTGCATGGGATATATACATTATATACAGTGCGTTCACTTTTTTTTTTTTTTACATATTTATTTTATTAAACATAATTATTGGCATATTTGTAAACATATTTACTGGCATATGTATTGTAATAAACACTTCAGTAATACAATAAAGATGCCAGATTATCATTAACTACAATTGTTTTACACATAATTTATCTAAATAATATGGGAATGTTTGGTTTAGGCATGGGTATTTTATTTTATTTATTTATTTCAAACATACATGTATATAATAAAGACAGTATATGTCCATATAACATAAATTTAAACAGTCTGAAAAGGGTGTATTGGCAGAAGCAAGAAGCTTATAATGCCCACCCTCCAAAGCCAATCTACATTGGATTGCAAAGCAAAAGAAAAAAAAAAGATAAAAAGATGGCTAATAAATGATGATAAATAATACATACCAACGTATGATTTTAGGAAAAAATATTCTTCTAAAATAATAACATTTTTTTTAGGAAAAAGAAAGAAAGAAAAAAAGGTAACGCACTAAATATCTTACTGTTCCTATTTGCATTCACATGTTTCATAATTGCTTATCATATTATTCTTAAATATGTTTTTAAACCTTGTTATTGTTGTACAATCACTTAGCTCCTGATCTAATTTGTTCCATACATCAACCCCAACAAAAGAAATAAAATGTTGTTTAACATTTGTTCTTGCTTTTGGTTTTCTGAACATTTTATACCCTCTGAGATCATAAGCAGTGTCCTTGATCAAAAACAGACCCTGAATATGTACTGGCAACAAATTATTATTTACTTTGTACGTAAAATGAGCGGTCTTAAAGTCAACCAAATCTTTAAATTTTAATGTTTTTCAATTTCAGGTATAAAAGCAGAAAGCCATTCATTTTTTTTTTTTTAATAAGTCATTAACATTTACATGAAAAAAATACTCTCAGAGATGATAGCAAATGTGTACGTGAACAGATGAAGATCAATTACAATAAAAGAAAAACAAAAAAGTAAGACAACTAAGAGGGGAATTCATCTTAGCAAACATTTAAATCAAACATAGAAATAATAAAAACAAAACGGTGAATGCACTTAAAATAGCAGATGTTTGGAGAAATCAAGGCTCAATTTTTGGGCATATTTTTCATTTTTTATCTTTTTAAGAGAAGAAAAATAGGTTTTAAAGTCATTAATAAACCAATGAAAGGAAGGTTTAGAATTTCTTAATAGAAAGCCATTAATAAGGTTGCGTTATACCAGGATTTATGCTTGGCCCCGCCCTCTGTCTATTCCTATAATCCTATTGGTCAGTCGGAACGTCAGTTCAGGCAGTAGCGACGCACCAGAATGCACGTGCTTCTCTGGTGGAACATCAAGATGGCAGCGTCCGTGTGTCTGTGTTACGAGGTTAGAACCCATTCATGCCCTTCATTGCAGCTCTTATGTCTGAACGCACAGTTTTCTTTGACGGAAAGATTCCCTAACTCTGTGTTACTTTTGTCACCTATATTTATGAGAAAAAGGGTTTATTAAGTTTTAGTAAGTGTCCGTAATTACGGTTAAAAGGCCTTGTTGTCGCATCAGAATCACCGCAGATGTTGACTCTTTACTGAAATGAAGCAGGGTTTAATAGTTCTTAGTGAGAGTGTTTTACCGTATATGAAGGATTATAAAGGAACACAGTTTTAGACCAATGGAACACGCTGTGGAATTTTCACATAATGTGTTTAATTTACCTGTTTTTTGTTTGACACAGACGGATTTCTCCACTGTGGGACAATATAGTCATAATTTCTAGACATGCTGCAATAAAGCAGGAATGGCGGTCCAATTAGACCACTATTGACACTGTTATAACAGAATTAGATTAGGTTTGACATAGTTTTAGTCTTTCCTAAATCTTGGGCTTTTTTGTATGTTAGTTTTTTGAAATTGAAACCTTTTATGTTTAATTGTCGTTTTTCTAGGGAGACTTTTTGTGTCAGACAGACCACAGAAAATCAGGGACAAGCATGTTTTGAAATGTTCTATTTTTTCCACACACAAAAACCCCCACCAATGTTTGAATTAAGGCTGAAACAATCAGATTAATCGTAATTGATTAATTATTGAAATAATTGTCAACTAGTTATTAATTGATTTATTGCCAAATGGAGTTTAGAGACTCTAAAAATGTCCTTTAGCTGAAGGAGCGACCCACTTAGAGCTATAATTATATCAAGATTGGGGAAAATATATCAACATTTTACATTTAAGATAAAAAAAAAAATCTAATCAGTCAAAATGCTCTATCTAGAACTCCTCAAGTGAAAATGTTTTAGTTTCACCTGGTTTTATTTCATAAAAAGTATTTTTTAAGAAATCCTTTTCTATCCTATTAATAATAATAAAAAAAAATCTATAGATTAATTAACTTGCAAAATAATCATTAGTTGCAGTCCTAGATTTATTATGTAACACTAGAAGCCAAACAGCAGTTCTTTTTTAGTTTTATTCATGATTCAAGATAATTTATATACCCAGAAACTTATGGTGATTTTTCTCAGTATGTTGCTACAGTAAAGTTAGACTGGATGAGTGGCATCTACAAAGATCAAGTTTTACTTGCAGTTGAATTTAATGAAATCCAGTCATAATCATTGTAGTTTGATAGTCCACTATATTGCAGTTGTAAAATGCAGCTTGACTGTTATGTTTGGTTGGATATGTCTTGTATCACTCATTGTTCAGTCATTGTAGGTCTTCTGAGGTTCTGGCCTTGAATGTAATGACCCTCAGTGTGAGAAGTCCCAGATCTCTGCTAGAATTTCAGCATTGCTTTCAAGCTTTGTCCTGTAATTAGCTCAATAAATATTCCTATCATCTCTAAGCACCTTCCCTTTTCTGCTGCAGAAGCCTATTTAAATAGCATGACGCTAAATGATATGCAAAGACAACATAAATGGAAAGAAAGCATGTGATGTAAACAATATTTTGAAAAGAAAAATCTTTCTAGTATTATAAATGACATGATAGCTCCTTATAAAGGAAATATCTGAAGGTGTGTTTGTTGTTCCCATAAATGACAGGTCTAACTGACTTTGTTGTTGTTTTTTTACTGCAGCTGATGGGCCGGAAGGCCTTGGCTCTCTGCACCCGTTCTGTAGTTTCTGCTGCATGGAGAGGAGATGCCTACAGGTTACACAGGAGCCCAGCTGCAGCTGTGCAGGTACACACTTGCATCGTCCATTAACCTTCATATGAACCACTGTTAGGCAACATGAATGGAAATAATACAAGTCTGTAATCCTGAGGTAAAAACGCAGCAGGGAGAAAGCCTGGGCTTTGAGCACCGTTATTTGACACGCACTGTTAAGCATCCAGCTGATGCAACACACTCATGAGGTATAAGAAGCATAGGAAAGTGTTTTTCATGGCTCAGGGATTGGTTGTAATTTTCTATGATTTAACTTGGAATAAATCCTGTTAACCTTTCATTCTTGTTTTATAGTCATTTATGATATTTATTAGGGGTGTAAATAATAACCGTTTTGTATTGATACATTGTTCCAACAGCCGACGATCCGATACATGCATTTTCAGTGAATGAGGTTTTCCTAGGCCTAGGGGGAGTACAACTTTGATACTTCTGTGATTTTCTGTTGTTTCTCAAATAAAATGCATAAAGATATTACAGCTTTCTTTAATTTATTTCAAATTTGAAACATTGTCTAGCCTGCAAGGTAAAAAAACAACAACAAACAATTAACCAATTAATCGAATCTTATCTTGGTGTATTCTTGAATATCGAAAATAATCAAATCGTTGGGTCAGGAAATTGATACTGAATCGAATCGCCATGATGGGTATGATATACACCCCTAATATTTATAAGTATGACTTGGAAAAGTGGTTAAATGTAGTGATTGTTTGCAGCAGGAAAAACTGGAAGGAAAGCTTCCTAGGCGTAGCCTGTTTTCTTAGCAGGCTGCATGCGCTACAGTTGGTTTTGCTGCAAAGGAACATGGGCTATGTAACTTAAGATTTCATGGAGCAATATCATGAAATCACCCATATGTTACCCAGGCTAAACTGTCTTCACTAGTTATCATGAATCTAGCTGGGCTGTGCCCTTTTCTCCTTTGAAGGCCCCGTCCACACGAAGTCAAAACGAACACGAAACGCTGATATTTTCCAAAACGTTTGCCGTAAAGACGGAGACGTAAAATAAATGTGAGCGTCCACACGAATGCATGAAAACGCTGCAAAATGTATGCCAGGCCTGTAAGTGGCGCTGTGGTGCCAAAGCAAAAATAAGCGACGAAATGTTGGGCATGCGCACTAATATTTATACATGGTTGCCCTGCGGGTCCATTTTCGTGGTTCAGTCAAATTCAGGTGCTGAACTATGTCGTCGATATTGCTCTGTTCTTCCTGGAGATATTCCAGAAGAAGAAGATTCTGTTGTAAGCCCGACAGCAGGGTGAGTAGCATTAGCAGCAACGGCGCCATTGTTGTTGTGATACTGTGTCGCGCATGCGTGTTTAGAGGCGACGCTATGACGCATGCGTGTAAAAAAAAAAAATGCGGTTAGAGCGTAAAGATGGAAACGCGAAAACGGCGTTTCGAAATCTTCCCACTCTGAAGGCTGAATAAAAAAAAGATCGTTTACAGACCCCCGAAACGCCGGCTTCGTGTGGATGAGAGGCTGGTTTGGTGAAAAATTTGTGCGTTTAGGCCAGGGTTCGTCTTCGTGTTGACGGGGCCTTAGCACTCTACACCGCCATCTCCAAATGGGGTGGCCAACATCTGTTTTGTGTCTTTCCAATTTGAAACACTAGGTGTTCATTTTACTAGAAGTGCCTTTAACCATTTTAGCTCAGTATTTCAGGTTTATGTTATTTTTATTTTACTGCCATCGCTGATTTCATGATTTAGAAGCTTTTAAATAGGTGTTTTTTTGTTTTTTTTAATCCACGTAAGTATGTTTTTCTTATTTTTTACTTATTTAATTAATCTTGTAAAAAACAGTTTTTCCTCTTTCTCTTTTCAGGTCCGGTATTCTTCGGGACGGAAGGGTTTTTTGGGCGAGTTTGTTGACAATCTCCGTCAGGAGTTCAGTAAGAACCAGGAGATGAAGGAAAACATCAAAAAGTTTAGAGAAGAGGCCAAGAAGCTAGAAGAGTCTGATGCCCTGCAGCAGGCCCGCAGGAAATATGTAAGGATGCTACTAACCTTATGGTCTGCCAGTCTACTGTACTACTCCTGACAAAGCTCTTTGTTTTATTAGAAAACTATAGAGGCCGAGACGGTGAAAACATCTGAGGTGTTTAAAAAGACCTTCGGCTCTCTGTCAGAAACCGTCAAAGAGGTGAGGTGTTGAAGAAACCTGAACAGAAAGAAACTTTAATTTCCTAATTCACCTGAAACCAAACTGGATTCATTCTAGTCTTGTAATTCTGTTTCACTGTGTTGGAAGGCTTCCCTCCATTTGATGTATCGTCATTTTGTAAGTTTACTTTTGTTTTTTCTGCCTCATTTTTTGCTCCAGAGTCTTGGGGAGGTGACCCGAACGGATATAGGGAAGAAGATTAAAGAAGGTGTGGAGGAGGCGGCCAGGACAGCCAAGCATTCTGCAGAGTCTGTGTCTAAGGGGGGAGAAAAACTGGGACGGACCAGCGCATTCAGAGCCATCTCACAGGTCAGGAGAAAAGACCTCTCTTAAATCATCCTCTTCAAGCATTCAGCATCGAAAACTGCACCTTTTAACCAGTCAATGATTTTTGTTTTTTTTTAGAAGTTTGAGCTAATTCTGTTACTTTTTCATTCACAGCAGTTACTCACCAAAGTTGTTTATTTAGGAAGAGGATTTCTCCTTGTTTTTTTTTAAAACATTCTCCAGACAGTTTAGCTCGGCTCTTGTTGGTTTCTGAACTGCTGATTTTATCTCTGATCCTGGTCATGCTGATGAAAACTTTCAAAACTAAATAGTTAGATTGTGATTTGAAGCTTAAAAGCTCCTGCCTCCTCTGCAGGGTGTGGAATCTATGAAGAAGGAGATAGACGTTGGAGACGCCGGTCCTTACAGGGCTCCTGCTCAGCTGAGGATGAGAAGTGATTTTTCATTGAGAGGTGGAGATGTTGACAGCAGAGTGTTTGAGGCCAATGAGTAAGTATCTGTTGGAAGGGGTTGCATGCTGGATGCTCATTGCTCTACATTGATGTACATTTCATAACACATTATGCCTTGCTAAAGTGTTCAGACATCTTAATGATTTTTATGTTTCATCTTTTTAACCCATGTAACTGTATCTTAATGGGGTTGAATGAAAGGTTTTTGCAAAAAAAAAAAAAAAATATTAAAAGTGCAGCATGTATTTGTAGTGATTTAGATTTAAACACAAAACTCTAAAAATAATCAGATGAAACCACATGGTTAAGACAAATCTGCTGACTTTACAAACATTATCTGTGTCAACATCTGGTCTTTGTTGAAAGTAACCATTGAAAATGTCCAATTTGCCGATGTTTAAAACCCATAGAAGGAACCTGGCAATAAAAAGAGAGATTATCTGCTTATATGAGACTAAAATTATTATTTTTTATTTATTTTTCTTCATGTAAAATGTCACATGATTTGATATATTGTGTTTATACTGTATATATACGGCATGCCTCTCTAGCTGGGTGAAGGATATTTTGTTAGTATCTAAATAGTGATTACCAGATCCAACTTTTTCATTTCCGATATGATACCGATATTAACCTGATACCATATTAGAACAAGCCATACTGGCTTTTATTACTTATTTTATACTGTAGAATGTTAGAAAAGGCTTGATAAAGGAATATTAATAAAACAGGGAACAAAAGTCGACAACGAAGGGTATAAAAATAACTGGCCTATGTAAAATAAATAACAATAAGTTACAGAAACTTAACAGAAGCAGAGTGTTTCTGTCAGCTTGGAAATATCTAATATTTTAAATGCTGGTCGATATAATCTGATATTAATTTTTTTTTTTTTTTATTAAAAGCTGCATCATTTCCTTCTGCTCCTCCCTGCTTTTGTTGCTCCACCAATGAAATGCATAGAAGTTTCTTTGCTAGCTCATTTTAGCCACTATATATTTAATCTGTCATTTGGTTTGGTTTTGTGATGTAGAGATGCTCTTGGTGTGGTTCTGCATAAGGATTCAAAGTGGTACCAGCAGTGGAAGGACTTCAAGGAGAATAACATGGTCTTTAACCGTAAGTGGCTTCCAGACAGAAAAAACTATGCTGTCTGTCCCTTAATCTGATATCTGGATATGCCTTCTAAACTGAAGACAGTAGGGGGCAGCAGATAGTTTCATAAGTGAATGCAAAATAATTAAAAGAGTGCAGATATAAGATGTTTATTAGACGTTTTTAATGCAGACAAGTACTGCCTTCATTTATTACTAATAAAAACACATTTTCCCTCCGTTAATCAATACTTCTTTTTTTTCTCTGCCTTCAGGATTCTTTGAAATGAAGATGAAGTATGATGAAAGCGACAACGCTCTGATCAGAGCATCCAGAGCCATGACTGACAGAGTTACCGACTTTTTAGGTAATTCTTAATCATCATATCGTGTACTTTACTCTCATCATTGCTTTTATATTCAGACCTATTATTTAAACTTCCAGGCTAATTATTGGTGCTACTGATCGGCTTGGCTTGGTGTTATTTTTTTCAGGTGGACTTTTTTCTAAAACAGAAATGTCAGAAGTGCTGACAGAGATTCTGAAGATAGATCCTAAGTTTGACAAAGACACTTTCCTCAAGCAGTGTGAGAAGGATATCATCCCGAACATCCTGGAGGTAATAAGAAGTGTTTCCTGTTGTTTGCTTTGCCTTTTGCTTGTTTATGCAATCAACTGGTTTTCCTTAGATAGAAAACTTTGAATCAATTTGACTGTATGGTCTGGTGAACTGTAGAGTGCCTTGAGATGATATGTGTTGTGAATTTGCCCTATATAGATAATCTGAATTAAATTGAATTATGCCTGTCACTCGTTGCTGCAAGGACAGCACAGAGAAAAACAGGCTAGTAAATGAGGAGATCACTTAATTTACCAGTGATTTAGACACATTTGCTTTAATGTTGTTCTATAAATGTGTTTTCAGCTGCGTAATTTAGTCCAACCTTAAAGCAAGTGCTAAGGAAAGTAATCACTGATGTCAGGAGGCACAGAGCAGTTAAAGGATCCTGTGCGGTTTGGGTGTATTTTATTTTATTTTTTTTAGATCTTGATCAGAGTGGAGAAGGAAACTGATAAAAGAAACATAAAACATGGAATACCACAAGACTGACATTACCTGGAACCATTTAAACAAAATAAGGATTTGGATTGGGATAATGCAGCACAACAAAACAAAATCCTAAGTTTCCATTTAAAATCATTGCAAAGAGAAATGAAAGAGATTGCATTATTTTTGAGTGATTGGAATCTTTGAATTTGTGGACTATTCGTTTATTTAACTTATTGTAAAACTGGTTTGCTCCAGTAATAACAGTTTTAAAAGCAAAATGGCCTCTTAGGTTGTTTTTAGCTTCCAGTTTAGCACCTGTTAGTCCTTCCTTATACTTCCTTCAGTCCCTTCTGTCTTCTGTCGTTCCGCCTCTTATTTAATTCCTTTATTTCCTGTTACAGCCTGGCTTGTGTAGCGGTAAAGGTGTTAACCTAAGGTGAATAAATATGAGAAAGTTGACCAGACACTACAGTTTAAATGAGAACTATAGAGATGATTTAAAGCAGAAATATTAAAGCACAATTTTGGATCTAAAGGCCCGTGGATTGAATTAGGATCAGTGAATTGAATGAGTAAAAATATTTAAGCTAATTGAAAAGCCTTTAATCAGTTGATTACAAACAATAAACAAGTAAAAGCTTTTTAATAATTTGCATTTATTTATCAAATACATCTAAAACTACAATCAAAGTAGTGTTGATTGCTCTAAAGCAGGGGTCACCAACATGGTGACCGCAGGCACCAAGGGGCCCTCGGGGTCCACATGGGGTGCCAACAGCATCTTCTAAAAACAGAACAACTCACCAGTGGGCAAAGATTGAAATTTTTATTTTATTCTGTTGCCTTTCTTTTTTAATAATTTATAGAGCATTTCATCATTTTAATCCTGCAGAGCATTTAAGCAGTTGTAGATTTCAAACTGACAATATCATAAAATTAGGAGTTAAAAGAAACGAGGTGAACGCTGATCCATCCCTCCTTCCTCCCTCCTTCCTTTCATCCTTCCTTTCACAATTCCTTCAAATCCCCCCTTCCTTCCTCCTTCCTCCATCCCTTCCTCCCTCCTTCCCTCCCTCCTGCCATCCTCCCTCTCTCCTTTCTTTATTCCTTCCCTCCTTTCTTTCTTCTTTCCTTCCCTCCCTCCCAATAAAAATATGTTTATTATGTATGAAGTTAAGATGAACGCTGATCCCTCTCTCCCTCCTTCAATCCCTTCCTTTGTCCCTCCATTCTTTTCATCCTTCCTCCCTCCCTCCTTCCATCCTTTCTCCCTCCTTTCTTCTTTTCTTTCTTCTTTCCCTCCCTCCCAATAAAAAATGTGTTTTTCCTGTATGATGTTAAGGTGAATGCTTATCCCTCCAGTTCATAGGTCAGTATTGGTAGCCCTTATATGACTCAATACCCATGAAGTAGCTCTCAACCTTAAAAAGGTTGCTGACCCGTGCTCTAAAGATTGGAACCGTTTAGATTGTTGACATTAGACTTTCAGGAACCCTTTTAGGGACCTGTGTCTGTTTCAAGGGAAGAAGTGACTGAAATGATGGAGAAGAGATTCAGTAGAAAACACTCAGATCTGCTGGGATTAGAACTAAATAGAAAAACTTGACTGAATACATTTATATTAGCTTTAAAAATCCAGTAGCTTTTGTTTATTTCCATATTTCTTTAGTTAAAATGATATTCAGTACTGATTGCCAGTCTGTGTCCTCTCTGCAGGCTATGGTCCGTGGAGAGCTGGAGGTTTTAAAGGACTGGTGCTATGAAGCTGTGAGTTATCAACCAACCACACGTCACCATAGTAATTTTTTGGCTTAACCACAATAAAATGTAAACAAGGTAACATTGGGAACCAGGATTGTATTTTTGTTGCATATCTTTTTAAATGCACAGTCTTTTTTTAGAAGTAGTAAGCCTGCAGGTGAGCTGAAATGTTGATCTGCCTTCATGTAACGTGTGTGAAGTTTTGTTTCATTCTGTCTGTGTTCCTGTGGTCTTCCTCTCAGACATACAGTCAGCTGGCTCATCCCATCCAGCAGGCCAAAGCCCTCGGGCTTCTCTTTCAGTCCAAAGTTCTTGACATCGATAACATAGATGTAAGTTCTGATCCTGCTTGTTCTCACTCTCATACAGACGCAATTAAGATTTCCCCGCATGAAAATGTAAACGAGCTACTGTAGAAAACTCTAACATTTATAGTCCCCAAAAATTAGAATGTGGATGAAGAGTAGAGGAGAACAGCATCTAATCTACTTTTAGAGGCACTAAATCTTGGTATTATTTTTGTTTATTAGCCATATTCATTAAAATTAAGTCTAGCCCTGAGGTATATTTCTCTGTGTAATGAACCCATAGGTTTATTTTGTTGTGTGAACCAAGTTCTTTATCTACATTCTCATGTTTTTAAAAGTGCACGGCAGTACTGGTGTTTAATATTTGGGCCTCTGTCCAACAGAAGCAGCTTACCTGAAATTGGGTCATCCAAAGGAGAGCAGCTAATTCACAACAGAAGGGCTGAAAAAGAAAATCTGATTTCACAGTTCAGATCTCAACCTGATTAAAATGTTTTGTCAGGACCTTAGGAGATTTTTGCTGAAATAAAGACTGATGAAGTCATGGACAATGTTTTAGGATGTTTATGCTCTTAGGCTCTTTAAGGGGCTTAAGATTCAGTTTTTCTTTTGGTTATAGAAAGGAAAATAAGTATTTGAACACCCTACTATTTTGCAAGTTCTTCCACTTAAAAATCATAGAGGAGCCTTGAATTGTTGTCGTAGTTTCCCGCTGTGTAAGACATAATGTAAAAAAAAAATATCCAGAAATAACAATGTATGATTTTTTAACTGTTTATTTGTATGATACAGCTGCAAATAAGTTTTTGAATAGCTGGGAAAATCACTGTTAATATTTGGTACACTAGCCATTGTTTGCAATTACAGATGTCAAACGTTTCCTCCAGTTTTTCACCAGGTTTGCACACACTGCAGGAGGGATTTTGGCCCACTCCTGCACACAGATCTTCTCTAGATCAGTCAGGTTTCTGGGCTGTCGCTGAGAAACACAGAGTTTGATCTACCTCCAAAGACTCTCTATTTGGTTTAAGTCTGGAGACTGGCTAGACCAGGAGTGTCAAAGTGGCTCCAGAAAGGGCCGTGTAGCTGCAGGTTTTCCTTCCAATCAAGCATTAGCAAACCAGACTCCATCCATCTCATCAAGTGAGTCCAGTCTGCACAGGATGACTTGATGAGATGGATGGAGTCTGGTGTGCTAATGCTTGGTTGGAAAGAAAACCTGCAGCCACACGGCCCTTTCTGGAACCACTTTCACACCTGTAGGCTAGACCATGCCAGTACCTTGATATGCTTCTTCCAGAGCCACTCCTTGGTTATCCTGGTTGTGTGTTTTTGGGTCATTGTCATGTTGGAAGATACAGCCTCGACCCATCTTCAATGCTCTAACTGAGAGAAGGAGGTTGTTCCCCAAAATCTCGCAATACATGGCCCCGGTCATCCTCTCCTTAGTACAGTGCAGTCACCCTGTCCCATGTCCAGAAAAACACCCCAAAGCATGATGCTAACACCTCCAAGCTTCACAGTAGGGATGGTGTTCTTGGGATGGTACTCATCTTCTTCTTCCAAACATGGTTAGTGGAATTATGACCAAAAAGTTCTACTTTGGTCTCTCTGACCACATGACTTTTTTCGATGATTCCTCTGGATCATCCATATGTTCACTAGCAAACTTAAGACGGGCCTTGGCATGTGCTGGCTTAAGCAGGGAAATCTTCCCTGCCATGCATTAGTGCAGTGGTTCCCAAAGATTTTCTTCTGGGCCCCCCTTTGGGTTACAATAAAATTTCCACGACCCCCCCCCCCAAAAAAATAAAAAATAAATAAAAAAAAATCAACTGGGCACACACATCGTTCAACCAGATATAATAAACCTATACACATATTTTGTTTTCAAACTCCACTGAAGTTTATTTCACACTTCAGGTTGCAACAAAACAAACTACACACCATCTTTACAGTGGAACACTTTTGTGTAACTGTATTTTTTTCATAGTTCTATACTGTAGATTAGAAGAGGATTCTTTGTTGTCTGTGTTAAACATATTTCTTTTTTTATTTTATTTGTAACAATATTTAACTGTGCTATCATCTATACATTAAAAAAGCCTCTGTGCAAAATGGAGTGAAAACATTTAACAGCTCCCTGAGAGTTTTTTCTTTGTACTTTAATCCTCCCATCTTTTCAGTGGCTGTAGTGAGCCTGCTTGTTGCTGCAGATCTTCTCAAATCTGGGTTGCAGTGTCACAACTGTCCATTATGCTCAGTCAAGCAAGCGCTGTTTTTTTTTTTTTTTTTTTTTTTTCTTCATTCATCCATACCGTTTCCCGCGCCCCCCCTGCAATGGCATTGCGCCCCCCCCTAGGGGGCGCGCCCCACACTTTGGGAACCACTGCATTAGTGTATTACCATCTGTAACCATGGAAACGGTGGTCCCAGCTCTTTTCAGGTCATTGACCACCTCCTCCCGTGTAGTTCTAGGCTGATTTCTCCCCTTTCTTCGGTTCATTGAGACCCCACATGGTGAGATCTTGCGTGGAGCCCCATTCCGAGGGAGATTGACAGTCATGGTTAGCTTCTTCCATTTTCTAATGATTGCTCCAACACCAAGCTCCTTGGAAATTTCCCCTTAGCCCTTTCCAGCCTTGTGGAGGTGTACAATTTTGTCTCTAGTGTCTTTGGACAGCTCTTCCCTCAACCTTTACTGATTGTATTGGGTGGACAGGTGTCTTTAAGCAGCTAACGATCTTAAACAGGTGCATCTAATTTAGGTTAATAAATGGAGTGGAGGTGGACATTTTGAAGGCAGACTAACAGGTCTTTGAGGGTCAGAATTCTAGCTGACAGACAGGTGTTCAAATACTTATTTGCAGCTGTATCATGCAAATAAATAGTTTTTAAAAAAGTCATACCTTGTGATTTCTGGATTTTTTTTTTGAAGATTATTTCTCCCAATGTGGACATGTTCCTTCAATGACTATTTCAGACCCATCGATGATCACTAAGTGGGATAACTTGCAAAATATCAGGGTGTTCAAATGCCAATTTTCCTCAATGTATGTTGTAGTAAAATCAGTAGTTATTTTCTATTCAAAGATATGCACATGTTTAACGAGGTAATATCATCAGCACAGATGTAACCACAATTGCACAGTTTTAGAGAACAAAATGCAATATGGGAAAAGCAAAGGTGGTTATTTAGTATTTTAATCATTTAAAGCTAAATGAGTTTACATCAGTATTTCCTTCTCTGATCGTCTTTTTGTTTGTTTTTTTGTTTGTCTGTGTTTAGTTAGCGATGGGTAAACTGATGGACCAGGGCCCAGTGCTGATCATTACCTTTCAGGCTCAAGTCGTCATGGTGATCCGAAGCCCGAAAGGAGATATCGTGGAAGGAGATCCGGTTAGTCGGACATTTTTTTAATCACAGTGTGTGTGTATATATTAGGGCTGGGTGATATAGAAAAAAAGCTTATCGATTAAAAAAAAATGCATATTGATCAATTAATTAATTAAAATATTTATTTAACCAACTTTTTTAACCATAACAATTGTTTTAAAGAAAAATAACTTAAGAGACCTGAGTTATGTTATTAAATACTGACAAAGAATAAACTAAAGTGACCAGAAAAGTGACCAAAATAAATATAACAAATAAATAAATAGAATACCTTATTTGGGTGGGAATAGTACACCACCAGCTTGTGGTAATTAAAAGATTTTAGGACTAGGCTAACATGTAAGCTCCACTCAACAAGAACAAAAACCCAAACAAAAATCAACTCACCCTTTAGCCTAGCATTTCTATGGGGTATTTTTTCTCACCCCTATTCTTCTAGAGGTGCTGCTGGAACCTTGTTATGGTTCAGCTTAGTTTCCTGCTTTAACCTGAGTTATTACTTTGAAGTTGATGGCCCCTCAGCATTTTTCTCTCAATTGTTAGAACTGCGTGGGAAACTGCCCAGAACTGAATATATATATATACATATTTTCCCGAAATTCCTGAAGATTCCTCGTAGGAGAGCTGCGCCGAGGCCTACACAGCTCGTACTCCTGCGGGTGTGAGCGGCAGAGATGATAAAAAAAAAAAAAAGTTGGTTGAGTTATCAGACTTCGTTTTCACTGGTTCCCTACACATTTTACAGATGACTGGTTTGTTTTTTGTCCGACTTGCCAAACGAAATACTGCCAAACTGCCGAACTATAAAAACCCTTCTTTGGAACAATTTCCTCCTCCTCTCCTTGCTGCACATCTTCATGTGCTCTGTGTTGTGGTTTGAGAGGGCAGCGCTTTGTGACGGCGTGCCTGGGTCCGCGATTGCGATTAGTTGGGAGGAAGTAGTGACTAGCATAAACCTATATGCTAGGCTACAATGAGAAGGAAGAAAAACTGTGTTTCTTTATCGAACTGTTATTGACTCTCTTTATTTCTATTGCGCCACACATCTATCGATCGGTATATATTGTTATTGAATTATAGACAAACACAAATATATATATATATATATATATATATATATAAAGGTTTGTATTTCTCTGTGGCATAGATTTTTTTTTTTCTGCCCTCTATAGGAGAAAGTGATGAGGATGATGTATGTTTGGGCCCTGTGTCGTGACCAGGATGAGCTGAACCCTAACGCAGCATGGAGGCTGCTGGACATCTCCGCCTCCAGCACAGAGCAAATCCTCTGAGAGGAGTCAAAGGCGATGCTGGTGAACGGGCTCCTCCACTGTACAGACTGAACGAGGGCAGAGGTCACAAACATGGGGATGGAAGCAGCTCTGGAGCAGAGTAAAACCCTTCCCCTGTGCACGTGTACATACCTCATACTTCGGACATATTCGCTATAATCTGGATTCTGACATGAGATGTAGTCTCGCCTGCTGTTCTTCGTTCTTCATGCTCGGAGTGACAGAGCTATGAAAAAAGCACTTGACCTTTCCTGTTAGAAAGGATAAAGTCAGTAGAAATCCTGGAACCCTTCATTCTGTGGTGCACTTCATCCATACTGACCTTATGGCAACATTCAGAAAGATCCTCTCACAGATGGAGAAGATGAAACTACACGTTTGTATATCTGTTGAACATTTCAGAACTTTTTTTTTTTATTACTTTCTCATGTTGGCAGGGGGTTAACAGCTTCAGCTTTGAATTAATGGCTGCAGCGTAAATGCAGATGGGGATTTTTGAACATACTGTAAGTTTGGAGATGTTCTTCTCATGATTATTCCTGTGAAGAACTAGTTTCCTTTCTAGCAGAGAGTACAGATGCATTTTTTTTTTTTTTGTAAAGCTTTGACCTGCTTTTTCTGGATTCACCTTAAGATCTCCAATCAGGGTCTGATGACTTGGTGTATCTCTGCCTGACACAGATTACAGAAAAACATCTCTTCTATTTAAACAGAAGACCAACTGTTCCCACATTAATGTTTTGATGGACCTCAAATGTTTTCATTTTAATATTTTGTTTTTTTCCATTGTAAATTTTATGATTCCAATAAAGTCAAAGAGGAAAGGGATTGTAACGTCCAAAGATATCGTAATCCATGTCTTACCTTTGTTTGTTTTTTTAAGTTTAGCTGTTTGTTTTACTTCACAAACAAAAGGATGAAGCAAGATGACCAATTAGATATAAAAACATTCCAGGTAACGATGTATTTATTTAAAACCTCTTCTGCTCTGGGATAAGAACTTTACTGATTTAGCCCTAGATGAATAACGGTGAATAACACCCATTGTTTTCAGGTCGCAGCGCAGTGTCTCGGTTCTGAATCCATGTGTTGATCAATAAGCTTATGACCTGTAGGGAAATGAGATTTGCATTGTTTCGTTATGGAAACGCAGTAGTGGATTCTTTTTTTTGCAGATCATTCACCTGTTTGTCTTACAGAACAGCTCTGTTTACATTTCTGAATGTGGCTTTTAATTGTTTAATAGTGAAGATGTAAACAGAGGAAATGTGTTGTTGTGAAGAATGAATCAGTTGTGTTTTATATGTAGGGCAGGTAAAAAAAAACTTATCCAACATGATATGAACACAGCACAGTTTATTGGTAAATACTCAGCATCCCATAGCATGATGCTTACTACTCCTTACATGAATGTTGGAATATTCTGCAGGTCATGCTCAGCTCCTCTTCTTCTTTAAACAGGATGAATAAAGTTTATGCTAAACAGCCAAAACTGATTGAGATGTTCACTTGTACATGTAACTTATTCTCTCTGTATATATCTAATCCTGTTTGAATAAAACACTTTTTGTCCTGCCCTCGTCAAACTAATTTGTGTGTCGATGCTTTACCCCCTTAAACCAATACTTTCTAAATAATCTCCCGATCTTTCCAGATGGAGATTTTTACCTTTTGTCTTTATACGATAACAAACCACACAGCAGATTAACAGCTGTCTGTGGATAATGGTAGGTCTTCTGGGTTCCGGTCTTTTCAGCTAGATTTGCTTAAATCACAGAAAAATGTTTGACAATAGAGGAAGATTTAAATGAAATTACATATATTGTTAATTAGTTTTTCTGTCCAGGTGATCAGCTCAGAAATTGACTTATAGCTGAGTTAGTCAGAAATATTCATACGTTTTTACATTTTTAACCAATAAGTCAGCATGTTGAATAAAGTGCACTAATATAATTAGCTTTGTCAAAGCTTCCTCCTAGTCAGCAGCTCAAAATGCATTGTGTGTTCCTGCTCTCAGGAGCACAAATTATACTCTGGATATCCCATGTCTGTCTTTAGTTTTCTCATTTCAGTCCTGTTGATGGATGTTGTGGGACGCGGCTATCGATGCCGGCTGATATACTCATTGATCAGTGTGTGTGGGACTAATAGATTAGGCTTTAAATAATGCACACACACAGAGTCAATATGTATGTGGTTGTTAATCTTGGAGCAGTCTTGTGATAAATGATTAGTGAGGTCCTTGTGCTAACTAAATATACTAGTCAGCTCCTGAAACTAACTGAAACTAAAGATTGTACTGAGATAATGTAGCTCTATAAACAAAGTTTCTGCATTTTACTGTGTTTAAATAGTGGTTGTTTCTCTTGTTTTTGTGCAAATCAAGTTTACTGCAACAGAAGGCTGTGTACCCTTCACACTGGCTTTAAATATAGTAGTAGGGACCAGAGAGGGTGTTGGGGGAAGGATTCATGCCCTGACCCTACTGTTTATTTAATAACACAACCATACGCATAATCAAGTAGCGCTTTAGCCTTCATGAGTTATACGTGCTGTGTGCCTGATAAAGATTTGTAAAAAGTCTTTAAATGATTTATTTGCTGCAGCAGCATAATCCCACGCTGACATTTTTAGAAACATGGAACCTTTTTGTATTTTATTTAGTTAAATAGATAAAAAAGTTGGATTTTTAGAAAATCTCTTCTGTCACCTTTACCAATGTTTAAAAAAAACCAAAGCAATCTTTAACTTTACCATCATATTGAATCTCACTAAGTTTTAGATAACTTTTTTTATACTGTTGTAGATGTGATTGTTGACATCTCATACATGTTAATATTGATTCCTGTTTGGATGATGGACTCCAAACTATTCTGAAATGTCCGTAATATAGTTTTTATGGAAGTGATCACACTTATTGATGGTTTTTTTATGAACATCATTTCTGCTTTTTCTTCTAACTGCTGTGCTACACTAGGTTTCTTTAACAATAACTTTGACATTTATTGAAGCTTTGCTTTTGCTTTGTTTCCATATAGGAATGGTTGCATATCTTCAATGCAAAATTTAAAATTTAGCTAGTGATGTTTCTTTTTTTTTTTTTACTTTTTGCATCTGATAGTGAAACAGTATTTACATGTTTCTGAGAGAAAAAAAAAAAGAAATAGGCCCTTAATATACATATGTATAGTGGATAAAAAAAAATATATCATCCACAACATATTTCATCAGGCATCTACAGCAAAGTCCGAACTATCAGCCTTAGGCACTTGTTGATAAACTTGAACGCATTTAAGGACATTATGACTATCAGTTGTTACTTCTTTTTTTTTTAAGTCTTTGCACAAAAAGCTTTTACTATTTAGACTGGAATTATAGGTTTCACATTTGAATGGAAAATGTAGCATAGCTGTTGTGGAACAGGGATACACTGCAGTAGCAGTCTGTTTTGGAAACAAGCTAAAAATTGCATAACTGTGACATTGATAATGAGGAAAACAAATTTCATAACTGTGGGTCTGAGACTTATCAGCTCTGACCGCAGCGGTTGGCCGCAGGAGGACAGCTCTGTGGGACTGGATGATGAACCAGTTCAGTGTAACAATTCACTCACTTTTAATTAAACCAACAGGGAGATCCCATGCAGCCACAGGCAGGGGAGCACTGGATGTGAACGGACGGCGGTCTGTCCGGGTGTTTGTACAATATGAGCTATGGCAACTAATTACCTCTCCCAGTAAGTATCTGGAGTAAAGCCACAGGTAGAGTCTGGTGGCTCAGCTTGTTTTGTTCCACATCTTAATCACATAATATCTCACAGCTCAGCAAAATGTGTGACATAACTGACATAAATCCATCTTATAAAACCTGACCTACTGTAACATTTTGACCGTATATAATGTGATATTAACGTTTATCTGAAATCTGACTTAGTTTAAGATGGAACTGAAAAAGTAGAAAAAAACCTCAGAGCACTTTCCCCCCTCAGGATATAAATAGTATTGTAAAAAAAAAAAAAAAAAAAAAACTTTTTATAGTTTTTTTAATCATATTTAAATGTTTTAAATCAATGCATAATATTTTGCATTCGTCAAAGATATCCCAAGTAATTTAAAAAGCAACATTCAAAGCCCTTTTTTTTCATTTTGCTTTTTATCATTTTCACCGAGCTTAGGTCATAACTTTACTGTGATTTAAATTTTTTGGGTTTATCAAATATAATATTTGGTTTTACAAAAAGCAAACAGACTACACTATACTATGTCAAGGACTAAATTGGGATATGTAGTACTCATGTACTTGGAGCTTAATATTTCTGAATATTCCTTATATCAGATTTTTTATTTTCGTTTGGTAAATATGTTTTTGTCTTGTGCCTTTAAAATGATATTTTTCTAATTTTGTGCTTTATATAGATCAATTGAACTGAATCTAAGTTGACTAATGCCAGACTTGCTTCATGCCTGGCTCAAAATTTACTAAGCTAGAAGGTGGGAATGACTTTATGAATTATGCCGGCTATAAAGAGAGACAGCACACAGAATCTTGTTTCATAACTGGTAATGTTGCCTTTTTAAGCTTTTTTAGTTAAATTAGCAAAAAACGACTTAAGCTCTAAATGGTAAAGCATGTGTATGTTTTCTAGAATTTCCTTGTTTTTTTATAAAATAACTTGTGGCTGAGTTTAGCTTACATATTTACTATTTGATCACCTCATCCTCAATACATTTAGTACATTTTTTTTCCACCTAGAAAATCTCACAATGACTCATGATGTTAAATCTTCTTCAATTACTATGTTTTTAAGTATGTCTTTTAAATATCATTGTTTTGCCAGGCATGTAAAATGATAAAAACAGACATAAGGTCTGAATTCTGGTATTAAACCTAATTAAAGAAGAAGGATCTTAGAGCAGGAAAAAACACAAACTGTCCTTCCACAAAGAACAACACAGTTCAGTGACAAACTGGGAGGGAGGAGTAGAGAGGAGGATCCTATCGAGGGTGAGGACATTAAATCCCCTGTGGGAGCAGAGGAGGCGCGTGAAGTTCAGACCTGAGGCTCCACCTGCAGAGGAGGACTCCCAGAGCTGTCCGTGGTGCTGAAACATCAGCTGCTGCTGGAGAATCGACGGTAAGCTCAAACCCTGGAGACACACCTCGATGGTGACTGACTTTTCTTAAGGTGAAGTGCTGTTAACATTCCTGATAACTGTGAACATTTTCCCCTGTTATCTAAATTGTTGTTTAACCTCTTATGGTTATTGATTTAGTAACAGTTGACAGAGCAATTTTTACCCATCTAACCTGACCTGTAATCCCCTTTTATGTTAACTTCTAAGAAGAGAAACAGATTGACTAATCTGCATTCTGCTTGGATATTTCAGAGCTTCCTATAGTGCAAACTAACTTTTATTTTCATTATTATAACATCTAATGTGTATCATTCCTCAGCTCTTCTGCTCTTAACCATTTACATTTTTACAATATTACTGCAAAAAGACAGAAAAATTGCTATTTGAATTGGGGGTTGAATCTGTTTTCAGATTTAACTTAAAAATATATATCTCTTTAAAAAGACCTTGACATTTTTAAAGCTGCTGTCAAATAATCCACAGGAGAAGATAACAGGGACAGGTATTACTCGCCGTGGAAGGCCATATGTCACTGAGCATGCTTTGGTGTCAGAAGACATTGGCTTGGCTAAGGGATTTTTCTAAGTGATTTTAGAGTTTTTATTTCTAAACTATAATAATCTTACTCATAAAAGCAGATAATTGTTTTTGTTTTTTTTTTCCGGGGGGGTGAAAAATGTTGTTGTTGTTTTGACTCTTAACAGCTCATTAAGTTGATGAAAGACCTGCTAAAAACTGATGACCTTTTTT